CGTACACGCAATACACAGGCCCTGGCACAAAGTCAAAATCCACATGGTCGAACAACCTGGACTTTCAACCGGAGCTAACAGCCGGTGAACAAAGAAGAAGAAAGAAAAAGAGTGACTGATTACAATATCCCCAATGTTGGCTATGGTTTCTTATTTTGGTGGGGGGTAGGAGTGGGGAGACGCTGGTAATATACCCACTACCACTAATAATCATGTCATGAAAGTCGACTTTTTAGGTGCATTTCCTTCGAAGTTGGAGTGCATGTGCCAGAGACAAAATGAACCAACAGTATGCTTACAAATAAGCCAGATCTGCGAAACTGATGTGCACGCAAAACTCAAGTTCTGAAACAACACTAAAGTCCATTAGTGGACGAACAACCAAAACTTTCCGCCGGACTTTACAGACGGTGAACGTGAAGAAAAAGAAATTACCTCATCATCAAGTACCTTGCAAACTGGCGAGGGCGATCATGAACCTCCACAATCTGCGATCCGCAACTGCGTGTATCAGTTTGTGTGTTGACACCCCTTCATGCCATGACAACAGACTGTCCAGAATCTTCTCGAGCTGTCTTTCTCTGTCTCTCTTTCCCCAAATGTCTCCAGTGGTTAAACCAGGTCCCATTTCCCTCTTCCCATAAGATGATCACAAAATGCTGACTGTCACTTTCTGATGTTTGTGATAAGTTGTCTTCGAGCACCTACCTAACTTCTGGGTTACTATTCTTAGCTGTCTACGGAGGAAATACCTAGATCATGTTTTTTCATAAAAAAAGATTTACACAGACATTTTCTTACCTGTCCATCCAGCTAAATGTGAACCAGCTGAGAACAGACGCTGACAACTCTGGGTTATGTTTCTGCAGTTTGTGAACAGTTAAAACACAGTGTTAATTAACGATATCTGAAGTCAATATGGCCTACATTTGTACAAGTTCCAACTGATATTATATATTACAATTAGTAATTTAGGAAAAAATACAAGCTACACGAATCTTCTTCTTGTTCTTGTTCTTCTTGTTCTTGTTCTTCTTCTTTTCTTCTTCTTCTTGTTCTTCTTGTTCTTGTTGTTGTTGTTGTTCTTCTTCTTCTTCTTCTTCTTCTTCTTCTTCTTCTTCTTCTTCTTCTTCTTCTTCTTCTTCTTCTTCTTCTTCTTCTTCTTCTCCTTCTTCTTCTTCTTCTTCTTCTTCTTCTTCTTCTTCTTCTTCTTCTTCTTCTTCTTCTTCTTCTTCTTCTTCTTCTCCTTCTTCTTCTTCTTCTTCTTTTTTCATGATGATGTAGATAATCATCATCATCATCATCATCATCATCATACATATCAATATCATCATCAGCATCAGCATCCTCGTTGTCTTCTTCTTCATGCACATTTACAGGAAAAGACTTTAGCCAGTTCACCCACAAAACCCACCACCATTAACTGTTTCACCCCATAAAGATTTACGGCATAAATTAAAAGATGGTGATTATATCTTCGTGTTAATTGTTATGAAAGAACAGGAATGAAGGAATTGGTGCCAGGGTAAGAGAGGCAGGAGACAACCAGTACGAAGCTCGGCACGGGATATGAAATACGGGTTAAAGTAACGTTAATCTCCCCAAATAGAGTAGGTCACTGTTCATTCCCAGGTGTGTTGGACTGTGCGACTTTTCTGAAGGTACTGGTGTGTCCCGCTCTGTTGTTTTCTTTCTGTGGTGTCGTGCGTTAACGTTTTCGTTCCGAGAAAGAGAATGCCTGTGACATAGGTTGCAGCACTCTCTAGGGAAGTTGTGCAAAGTTGACGAGCCTGAGCAACAGCCAATCAAACGTAACCTAGTGTGTATATGGGCGGAACGTGGGGAGATCAACGTTACTTTTACCGAAATACGCAGGAAAGTGAATTAGGCGGTAATGTTTCTATAGGCGGGCTGTGTTCAAAGTGACGGTCTACATAGAATCCTCTATAGAATTGTGACGATGAAGTCGCTGTAAAACAGTGGTTCTAAGCCTGCGGTGGCCAACCCCCCCCCCCCCCCCCCCCCCCCCCCCCCCTGGGGTGCAATAGAGTTTCAAGATAGGTATCAAGCAATTTTGAAATTTATTGCAAGTGTGCATGTAATAATATGTATACTATCATTTATTTTGCAATTTATTATTTAAAAAAAAAAAAAAAAACTATTTTCAACACCCCCACCCCCAATCTAAATACATGTACGCTAACTTATTTGACAATGAGATTTTTGTGAATGCTTTTTTCCAACTTCTGGCCAATAGTGTTTGCATTTTTTTTTTTTTGGGGGGGGGGGGGGGGGGGGGTCATTTTTTCTTTTTTAAATCACAATTTTTTGATTTTTTTTTAAAGTTTAGGAAAAGAGGCGTATGCGGTCTTGTATTATATTCCAAGGGACGCCACCTGAAAAACGTTGAAAACCACTGCTGTAAGGAGACAGAGTTCTGTCTCTACGAACATGGACACACACCATTACAGACACGAGGTAGCTGAACTAAACAGAAGACAAAGAGTGTTGATGACTGGTTGTGTCGGGAGCGACGTCTTGAAAAGACCATGATAAACGAGTATATCCCTTCATATTCAGTTTTTCCCCCTATCGCGTGCTTCTTGGTTTCATGTTCATCTTGGTTTTTTATTTGCTTTATTCTCTCGTCCGTTAAGTTTTCCAGTCACAGTTTGTGCTGTATTTAGTACTCCATTGATAAAGATTTTGGCCGAAACGTTCGGTTGTGTGGTTTTGCATCCTTTCCATTCCTTCCGTTGGGCTTTCTTATCACATTTTGTGTGCCGGCTCTCTAGCGTAGTTAACTAAACCGGACTGCGTGGTGACCGGGTGACGAACTCCTTGTGGTCTGGGTTCACTCCCGGGGGTAGGCAGAAAAGCCACATTTCTCCCAAATTTACGATATTTACAATGGAATCCAGGCCGAAAGGTTGCCACATTCATAATACCGAGCTTAAGTGTTAACAACTCATGGCTTCTGGATACTAAAACAACAACAAACAACCATATTTACATCACATTTTGTGTTAGCTTTAGCAATTTTTACAATCAATTCGACTACAGCCACCCCCTGTTTACGTCATGCTAAACGATAATGATTATGAAGGGAAAACAAATTAAAACGAACTCATTATTTGATAGTTACATGTACATGCATTCGCTCACCTTAGTTTTCTCCTCATGATATTCAGCGAAGCAGTTCAGTAAGAGTAGTAATACAATGGCACAATACTTTATCATTAGCAAAGCAAACTTGAATAATTCGGAGTCGTATATCTGCAAGGTAACAATAAAACAAGAAACATATGAATTAGTGTCTGCTAATAGCACCTTTCTGGTCAACATCATGTACCATTTATAAGTTGGTCAAAAGCATGTATCATTTATAAGTTGGTCAACATCATGTACCATTTATAAGTTAGTCAACATCGTGTGCCATTTAAAAGTTGGTCAACATCATGTACCATTTATAAGTTAGTCAACATCGTGTGCCATTTAAAAGTTGGTCAACATCATGTACCATTTAGAAGTTGAACAACATTATGTACCATTTAGAAGTTGGTCAACATCATGTACCATTTATAAGTTGGTCAAAAGCATGTACCATTTAAAAGTTGGTCAACATCATGTACCATTTAGAAGTTGGTCAACATCATGTACCATTTATAAGTTGGTCAAAAGCATGTACCATTTAGAAGTTGGTCAACATCATGTACCATTTATAAGTTGGTCAAAAGCATGTGCCATTTATAAGTTGGTCATCATGCGCCATTTAGAAGTAACTGTTTACTTTATGAATAGTAAACTAGACACCTCAATAGAGAAGTATTTTCCCCTATTCCTCCAGTGACTTCATTAAGTAAGTAAGTAGATATTATACCACGAGGACATCACACAGAGCGATAAACACCCGGTGACACAAAGTGACACCATGCGGATGAGGATCACCCATGGAGAGATCCCGGAAACCCTGTTCAACCGTCAGGTTATGTTAGGGCTGCCGGCAACAGCCAGGGGTGGGGCTTCAGAATAACGAAAAATTGCATGCCACAAAAGGACGTTTTAAGCAGATTACTTCATTAAATTGTTGTGGGGGAGATGTAAGGATCGTGTGATGTTCTTTTTAATGCGCTATAAAACACCAGCTGATCAGTTTTTAAGGTTAAAAAAATAGTAAAGATCCCTTTTCCACGTCTTTATACGTATAGGGCATATAGGGCTAGAACCTATATTTTTTATAGTCCAATCGGCACAAGATGGGTGATGTGATCAGCATCACGCCGGCCGCCTTTACTTCCCGGGACTGCACCCGCTACCCACTCAAGGCTGGGAGTTAGAGTCATTTTTTAAGAAAAAAAAGTATAGCTCAGTTTTGATGGCTGACATGTATATTCGTTGTCGCTGAAAAAAAAAAAATTAATAAGACCTGAAAACAAAAACAAAATAGCAACGGATCCGTTCTTACTGGCAAAGCTGAGACTGTGGAGACAAAGGTGTTATCAATGTGCTACCTTTTTTCAGACTGGGAGAACGGATATGAACACAAAACTGAAGTTCTGAAATAAGGCCAAAGTTCAAAAGTGGACGATCTAAGACCTTTCCCAGGTGTTTACAACTAAAGCAAACACCGAAAGAGAATGACGTAGAGCACAGGGTAGACCAAGAGCAAGTAGGACAGATCTTCTTCTTCTTCTTCTTCTTCTTCTTCTTCTTCTTCTTGTTATCACTTCCAAATTTTCAATGGCAGACAAATTCTGGTGATAAACTTGATTGTATTTAGGAGTTCCCTTTTAGTTCCATACAACTTGGAACACAGCGCTGACTCAGTGGGCCAGTGTTCCCTTCTTAAGGGCTGTACAAGTGACATTCTCGCAGGTCATTTTCTGCAGGCTACACACACATCCCACAAGGGCAGAATGGTGAACTACTTAGACGAAGCCTGTGCATATGCTTGTTAAGTGTGTCGTGTCTTGTCTTCAGATGTAGAATATTGACCTGTCTATGCTGGTCAAGTAAGTTGTAGTCATCTTTGGCCAGATTCTAAGTTCTGATAGATTGGACGGCCCTCTACTTCTCAAAATATGTTACTGCATTCTCTTCCTGTTCAAATTCTGTCTTAGCAAAGTTTATCAGCGACTTCGATTCCTTGTAAACCACGCTGTGATGGCACCCAATGGCGAACAGTACGCTAAAGGGCAGTGACCTTGCCAAGTTGAGGTCTCATATGTGAGAGTTAAGCACTTTTGAGGGCTTGGAGAACCGATAGCGCCTCAGTAAAGATGACCACTTGGTGGCAGTCAGAACTGGTGTTGTGTAACATTTGTTGCGGCCTGCTATAGTACTAGGATCTCTCCTAAGTAGGAGCAACAGAATTTAACAGTGGGTATACACTTTGTGTGGCGATGCTTGTCTGGGTGTGTGTTAAAGATGTCAGCACCCCAATTTTCAGCCGCACTGGTTGCTGATCCATCTGTGTAAGCATGTATCTACGACTGTTTGGGTTAGTTTCCTGGATCATACTAAGAGAGAGCTGTTCGTTTTTGAAGGTCACTGGGCTCTTTGAGTCCATTGACTGAAGTCATTATTTGTATTATATCGCTGACTTGCTGCCGGTTAAAGGGTAGGTTTCGGCGGTGTTGTTCTCAGGGGTTGGTCTGCTTGATAATGTCTTCTGAGTCCCGCCCCCCCCCTTCCCCCTCCTTCCATGGCCAAAAGCTGCTACGTTTAAGATGCCCCAATGCCAGATTATCTCATCTTGCTTTAATTGGGCGTGACTGCAAACTATTCAACTTCTCCATTTGAACCACAGTTTTAGTGTTTCTTCTATAGGACAATGTCTGCATTGCAGATATTTTCTGCATCTCAAGGGTTAGTGCAGTTTTCATGGATCCTATGCTGAGTCTAAGGGCTTGATTTTGCACTCATTCATTGTCCAGTGATTATGGATGAGAGTTAGCGGCTGATGACAAAGCTGTTGCACCAAAATCCAAGTGGGGTCTTCCGCTCGATTATAAACTTTCTTTGAGGTTTTTAAATACGCTTCCCAACTTGTACCTGCCAGTTTTTAAGTAGTTTTTAATTCTTCTGACCTTCTCTTCTGCATTTTCTGAATGTTTGCTCTACCAGGACCTTTAACCAAATGTCAGTGCAAGGAAAGTGGGGAATCTTTCTTCCTTTAGCAAGGATGTTCGTAGGTGAATACTAGCAGCTTTTTCCCTAGGGAAAAGACATAAGCGTTGTGGATGTTTTGTCAGTGCTGATGGCAACGTGCCACTTTTCTGCCCATGTCATTAACAGATCTTTTGTTTGCTGCATTCTTAGATTTGCATCTATATTGTGTTCATCAGTACACCGGAGTGCAAAATCATCTGCATACAGTATAGCCTCCACTCCTGAAGGGAGGTTTTTTGCCAGGTCTTGGATATAAACAAGAACGAGAGTTAGGCAAAGATAACTACAGAGAAACTCCACAACAGCATGATGTGTCTGTGGTCATCGAAGCGGCCTGTGAGACGAAGAACCTTATATCTCTCTTGACACCGGAAGCCGTAAAATAGGAAGTAGAGAAGAAGAAGAAGAAGAAGAAGAAGAAGAAGAAGAAGAAGAAGAAGAAGAAGAAGAAGAAGAAGAAGAAGAAGAAGAAGAAGAAGAAGAAGAAGAAGAAGAAGAAGAAGAAGAAGAAGAAGAAGAAGAAGAAGAAGAAGAAGAAGAAGAAGAAGAAGAAGAAGAAGAAGAAGAAGAAGACTGGTAGTCACGATAAACCAGAATTCACATGCTCGACTGTGAACCCAAATGTCATGGGTTCGAATCTGCAACGAGGCCGATTGTGTTTTCAAAATTCTCATGGCTCCCAAGTCGACCCAACAACCCAAAGTGTAGTATAATGGAAATTAAAGGCGGTCCGCACAGTTCCCCTGTGCGTTTCGGAGCCCCATTGTGAGGGAAACAGAATAGACGTTTGTAAAAGTCGACTAATTTGGTTTTACCTTCGAAGCCGGAGTGCAACTGTCAGACAGCCTGGAAACCAGCAGTCTTAATACAAATAAGCCAGATCTGTAAAATGGATGTGTATTTATAACTCAAGTTCTTGAACAGGACTAGAGACTAGAGGTGGACGAACAACCTGAACGTTTATCCGGAGTTTGCAGCCAGTGAACGGGAAGAAGAATAAAAAGAAGAAGATGTCATGGATAGTAAATGCGGCCGGCGTGATGTTGACCACATCACCCACAGAGTTCCGATTGGATTATACAATTATGTGTCTGAGATCAAATGCCCGGTGCATGACTAGGAGTAAAAAAAAGAAGGTCTTTTGCTCACTTTTTACTTGATTTCAGATCAGACTAACATGGTGAAACAAACGTCACTTACCTGTAACATGAAGGACGAGTAGACTGGCACTAGTGAACAGATGGTTGTCAGTGTCCAGAAAATAAAGAGAAGTGGCGATCTTATCACGTGATATTTTCTCTCCATTAATACCAGGCCTGAATGAAGAATCTTTGAAACAGCGATACGATCAATGAATATTTATTGTAAATTTGTTAACATTTGAGTCGTGCTTAACAATGTAATGTCATTTCAGTCATTTATTATGGCAGCTGTATATCCTTGACAGAATTTCGCAGAATAAACACTCACTGCATTTATTATATTTGATCTTGGCCGGAGCTACGGTGGTTGTGCTCTGATGACTATACTGTTAGCACCTTAGGACACCTTCTGTGGGAGACGAGGGAGCACCTATAGGTATGCCCAGTGTGATATGTCGATTTTTAAATCGATTAATCAGTAATTATCTGATATTTGCTTTTACTAGGCAGTTTTACATTAGTTTTTTTTTTAACTCTTTGAGTCCCAAGGAACGCATCATACGTTCATAGGTTCCTACCTAGAAGCCCAATGAACGAATGATGCGCCGATTTTATTATTTTCTTTACTACCCCCGGGCCTGTGATGCTAAACACCCTGGGACTCAGAGAGCTAAATAACTTCTGAAAGGTGTAAGACGCTCATATTTTTTTTTAAATTCTTATCAAAAGCAGTACGCTCCCAAATCGCTTGCACCTGACCTTGAACAGCGATATGCCGGACTTCTTGAAATGTATTCACAAGCACACGCTACACACGTCTACATCCAACTTAATCATGAGAGACGGAGGGAGAACTAGAAAAAGGTGGGAGGAGGGGGCGGGGGAATAGAGAATTTGAAAAAAATTATTACAAAATCATTTAACTACATGGTGTTTTTAAAGTCTCATTACATTTTCTGTGGAGAATAAATTTAAAGAAAAAACATAGTACATGACGTCATTAAAAATTTTCTTAAAAGGTCGTTAAATTATTTACACCACTATAGTTCAGCGCTGTTTTTGAGGTAGTTGGAAAGTACCAATCAAATATTCATTATTTTAAAAAAATTGATAACCGCAATGCAGTCAGGAGGCTGTTTATCAGGAAATGTTACTATAAGTCTTTGAAGAGCCATCCGTGAGTGTCGACTGTCGTTTCAGAAAACAATAATTTCTTCTGTTGATAACACAGTTTTGTTTTTTGAGTGCACAGAATTATTCCAGCAGACGACAGGCATTCATTGCAATTTTGCTTCACAATTATCTGTCGTAGCTCAGGATATAAGGCAAGAGGAAGACCAAGGAAACTGTGGATTGACGGGGTCTCCGAAACCTGCCAAAAGCATGGCCTCAGAACATCAGATGCTGCCCGCCTTGCTTATGACAGGAACTTGCATCTCCCCACAACGCTTAGCGGCATACGTGGAAGGAAAAAGTAAAAGTAAAGTAAGTATTATCTGTCGAGCACATGTTGTGATGCTCGTCATGTATTTCGTCATGTGTTGTACATACAAATTGCAGTGCGACTTTACAAACACCCTATGTATGGCAAACATGAAAAAAAAAAACTTAATTACAGATGTGTTTTTTTCCGCGTTGTTAAGTTAGTGATAAAGTGTGCTAACTTAGCCATAACTAAAATACTTTTAAAGAATGCATATAAGATAATCAAACTTGCTGCGCAAGCAGATAAACTACTGAAAACTCGAGCAAGGACATACGTATTCAGGAACAACAAATAAGAACACCCAAGTAAATAATCAAATTAGAGAAATGGTAAAGTATAATAAATAGGATAGAAAACATTTGATTGTATCTTACTTTTTATTCAAATAAACATCAGGTAAAATAATCTACAACTGAGTAGGTCTAGTAAATTCATAGAAGACATGTAATCATCATCAATTTTTAATGGCCACACGGTTTCTCTTTACCCTAACAGCGTTGGTCTATGTGGTGCCTATTTTTGTTTTTGTGTCCCTTGTGGCTCCGGGGCAAATGTTTGTGTGTCTGTGTGTGTGTGCGTGTGTATGTGTGTGCACGCGTGCGTGCGTGCGCGTGTGTGTATGTGTATGTGTTGAAAAATAAAAGGAAAGGTCGCTCTGCTCCATATCAAGCATGTGGTGAAAGGCGACCAAATGGGTCTTTGTTGAAATCGAAAGTTTTGAGCCAAAAACGCAGATATCGCAGTTCACAAGTAAATCACAATGTAATGTGTCAGCCCTCGCTTTTATGACGAACACAGAAACAGAACAAGTAAGAAGATGCTCTTTTATCGACGTCAATGGATGGGAGAAACACTCAGTAGGCGATGTTCAAAAGTCCAATTTTCACGCCTTATGAATATCGGGTATATCACTTTTGCCTCCATTTGTAGAACCTCATTCTCATTCTCCTTCTTCTCCTTCTTCTTCTCCTCCTGTTCCTCCTTCTTTTTCTTCTTCTTCTCCTCCTCCTCCTCATTCTTCTTCTTCTTCTTCTTCTTCTTCTTCTTCTTCTTCTTCTTCTTCTTCTTCTTCTTCTTCTTCTTCTTCTTCTTCTTCTTCTTCTTCTTCTTCTTCTTCTTCTTCTTCTTCTTCTTCTTCTTCTTCTTCTTCTTCTTCTTCTTCTTCTTCTTCATCATCATCATCATCATCATCATCATCATCATCATCTTCTTCTTCTTCTTCTTCTTCTTCTTCTTCTTCTTCTTCTTCTTCTTCTTCTTCTTCTTCTTCTTCTTCTTCTTCTTCTTCTTCTTCTTCTTCTTCTTCTTCTTCTTCTTCTTCTTCTTCTTCTTCTTCTTCTTCTTCTTCTTCTTCTTCTTCTTCTTCTTCTTTTTATTCTATTATTATTATTATTATTTTTATTATTATTATATCGGACTGACTGTTGTTTTCTCCTATGGACTGTTATGTGAAGGTTCCCATACACTTGCGACTAAAGCAGCCTCATTCTGAATGGCAGTCCAACAGTGCACATCTAGATACCCCGTTCAAATTCCTAAAAAGTATAAACTGGGACATCTTCAATGACTAACCTGAGTACTATCTTGATGTCTAGACTAGCGGTCCCCAACCTTTCTCGGCTGGCGCTCCCCCCCCCCCCCCCCCCCCCCCTTTTCCTTTAACCGCCCACCGCAACATAACAAAAGTAATAAAAAGGTGGCGGACAAAGAGAAAAATTCCCAAGTACTGTTAATAGAAACTTGGAGAAAAACACGATACATAATTCAAAGTGTCAAATAACACAAGAAACAATCACGACCAAATTAGTTTCGTATTCTTTATTTGACGTTGCAGAAACCAACCCCAGCATTTTTTTTGAAACGCCTAAGCTACAGACGCCAACAAACAACATTCGTAACGCCTAACCTACAGACGCCAACAAACAACATTCCTAACGCCTAGGCCACAGACGCCAACAAACAACATTCGTAACGCCTAACCTACAGACGCCAGCAAACAACATTCGTAACGCCTAACCCACAGTCGCCAACAAACAACATTCCTAACGCCTAGGCCACAGACGCCAACAAACAACATTCGTCACGTCTAACCCACAGACGCCAACAAACAACATTCAAAACGCCTCAGCCAAGACGCCAACAAACAACATTCGTAACACCTAAGCTACAGACGCCAACAAACAACATTCGTAACGCCTAACCTACAGACGCCAACAAACAACATTCGTAACGCCTAACCTACAGACGCCAATAAACAACATTCGTAACGCCTAACCTACAGACGCCAATAAACAACATTCGTAACGCCTAAGTTACAGACGCGAACAAACAAGCACCAACAACTGATAATTGTGTCCCAATATCACTGTTTTCTCTTGATAGCATCTGCTTTTTTTGGTCTGATGTAAGACAAGACACAACGGCGATCCTTCTCCGCGCCAAGCTGGCGTTGCAGTTTCCGTTTCATGACTGTTGAAGCTGACACTCCGGATTATTACAAGTACAGAAGCACTAATTATCAATATTACTGAACGCCTCCATTTAAGCTTCCTTACGAAACCTCTTAGAATGTATTCATTTATTAAGACAGTGGTCAAAAATGACCGTATGGGTTCGGTAATGTCGTAGAATTAATCAGCAAAGATTAACATTTAGTGATCACATAATTATCAATGAAATTTTGCAAATATAGACAGATGGATCCGTAATGAGAGATGCTGATTACAACACAGATAATACCGACTTGAAATAAACAATATGGGACTACGGTTCTTATCGCGATATTGTCAACACGGCGAGAGTTACTTTCCGTCCCATTCATGCCGCGGCAGGTCACAGGGCTTGTCTTATCGTGTGGGGGATTCAGGTATTCCTACTTTTTAATGGGTTCAACCGTTCTCTCGTTTCTCATGTTGCACCGCTCAATTGCCATATTATTGACACGTTGTATACTACTTTTGCGACGGTTCGTGAGGAGCGAAACTGTGATGTTTTTGTATTTTTACTTTCCTTGGTGGTCGCTCCTTTCACTAGGACAAAAGCCACCATCAAGAACGTAGAAATAAAAAAATTTAAAAAATAAAAAATAAAAATAAAAATCACAGTTTCGATACTCATGAACTGTCTGCCTGCGTTTCCCCTTGCTGTACTTCTTACTTGTACAAAGCCTCAAAAGAGATTTACGAATACATAACCTTCCCCAAACATTAAATGCGACGAGAGAACGCCGATTGAAACCATATCATAACACCCCTACAACATAGGAAAGACCCTGTGACCGGCGGCGGCATGAATGGAATGGGAAGTAACTCTTGCCGTGAGGACACAACCGTGAGTAGTGCCTGGACTACAACCCCTCACTTATATTTATAACCTATATTAACAAGCATGAAAGCAAGAGCCAGAATGCCGCAGTAGAATACGAAAAGGCAGAGCAGAACCAGCATCGCAGCAAACATCAATTTATACAGATCACTAGCATTGCCTATTTTCTTATTCGGTTGTTAGAGTTTGACTCTCCCTGTGGAAAAATAAAAGAGGATTCAGGCTTTCGAATATAAATGCCACAGACACATTTTTACGAATCAGTTGTACATAAAACTAACAAATATGCCAGAGACAAAATAAACACATTTGCAGGACATCGTGAAAACTGAACTAATGATGATATGCAGGAAACAAAATATCATGAACGTTCTTGT